TGTGTGTGTGTGTGTGTGTGTGTGTGTGTGTGTGTGTGTGTGTGTGTGTTTTTTGTGTGTATGTTCGTTTTAATACCCTATTGCTTTTTGTTTTTGTGTTTTTCCCTCAGTGGAATCCGGCCCTGGCCGCTGGCTGAATGAAAAATAAAGCACGGACAGACGGGGCATGTCTGAGCATGATGTGTGTGTGTGTGTGTGTGCAGGGTGGACATTAGCAAGCTGAGAGTAGATTCCTAAAAATCAAGACAAAGATATAAGCGCCACGAATGAATTCTGTTTAGCTCGTGTCAACATAAGAACCAGCTATAATCCACTGACCACCTGTTTATTTATTAATAAACATAGCATTTTAATTGGAGGCATTTCATGGGCCTCATACATATGTAAATATTTGTCTGTGTGTTTGTCCATGGCACGTGTTCAGTGTGTTTCTTCCTATAAATGTTACTCTTATTTTACTATCACAAGATGCACTCACTGATAAAAAATGGGCCAGAAATACATAATAAACATAAAGGTGAAACAAAGAGACACATTGTGTGCGTGTGAGACACTGAGGCAGGACATAATACACAGCTCAAAGCCTCTGGAAACAGTGTGAAAATATCCATCTAAACAGCATCATTATGCAAAAGCGACAATAAACTGGTTCTGATGATAAACAGACTGTCATATCTCCATACCCGAGCCAGAGGGCAACACACTCTGTGACATCCATCTTCTTTAAGTAACGCTGCTTATAATGACACTGTGCATGGTGAGAGAAAAACAGACACACACACACACACACACACACACACATACACATGCCAACGTCCTGTCATAAATACACACAAGTTAACACTCACAACCACCCGGTACTAATATCCTCAGTCGCTTTCTCTCTGTCTTACAAACACAGCGAGAAGCGCTCACACACACGCATACACATGCATACACACACATACACACGCATACACACTCTCACAAATCTCCCAGTATTTAATACAACCGGGTAATGCCAGGGGCAAGGCAGAAGTCATAATCAGGAGTGTGTTTAACAGCAGTGTGACAGGCGGATGCTGCTTCAGTGTAAGTAAAGAACATGTAAATAAGAAGCAGAATTATTCAAAACTGAGACCGGCTCACACCTGCTGGTTGCCCTCGCCCGCTCAGCTCCAGGCGTGCCAGGATAATCTCAGGAAGGGATGGGACGCAACGGAAAAAAATAATGTCTTCTTCCGTCAAGGTGCAAACCAGTCCAAACACAAGACTGAGGCAGAGCAGGAGGTTGTTATCCAACAAATGTATTGTATACTTACGTGATATGAATGTAAATTCCGGGTTGGATGAAGTCGATGCACATGTGGAGGCCACAAGGCCGTGGTAAGCTCAGAGGAGATGGAAAGGAAAGGTGAAACAATAAGTCGATTCAATGATTCGTTGATTGAGTAAGCAAAAGGGACCAATGCTTTGGTTTCAACTTTTCAAATGTAATAATTTCTGCTTCTGTCGGTCTCAAATTACGGTGAACAATACATCTTTGGGTTTGAAATTGCTGGTTGAACGAAACTAATAAACTGAATAAGTCATCCTGGACTCTGGAAGATTGTGTGAGTGGCACTAATCACTGTTTCCAGGCATTTTATAGAGCAATTAATCAGTGAATGCTCCCTACGACTGATGATCGGCGTTCACTCTTTTTCCGTAACCAAACCAGATCTTGCCACGATCTCCATCAGCCAATCAAATTGCTGCTGTCAGATTTGAAATCTGTTCTCCTCTCGGTTGGTGTCAGCTGATCATTTTAGGCAAAATCATTGTGCCTCCCTCCACCCCATTCACCTCCAGTCATCATATTTAGTGCTGGTTGAACTCATCGGAAGTCCACGGGGGGGGGGGGCATATTACCAGTACAAACCATTTGACCCACTGTACGCCTGGATCTTATGGCCTTGGCTTCAAAATAAATAAATAAAGGCAAAATTCAAAATTGTTAGTTTAAGCTAGTGAGGAAAGGACATTATCATTATTGAGAAATCATACAAATCCAAATCTGCATCTTAAAATTGTACAATAGCTGGTTTTGTATGACAGTCATTCCAAAACCCACATATATTAAATTTACAATAATATGCAACACAGACAAGCAGTGAATTCTCACATTTTGGAGGCTGGAATAAAGGCAGCATGAGGAGCACACACACATCACATGTAGGTGAAAAGCTTTTGGTAAACACAATTAATGAAAAGTGGATGAATCCGCAAACAATCCGCACAAGCTCAGGTTTTCGATCTTCCAGTGAACAAAAAGGGGATCTATGGGATCGAAACATCGGTCTTAAAAAAATGTGCCGTCTAGAGTCTGTGTTGATGTGCTCCTCTTTTTTGAGAAAGCTGGCACCAACAAAACGTCTGGTTTTGTAGCTCAATGAATGATTAAGACAATTAATCAAAGTTTGGTTCCACTCTCTCATAAGTCACCCTATATATAAAGGGTTTGTAAGTTGAAACTATTGACTTTATTTGTGGCTTATCAATCATTCACTAATTATTTATAGATCAGAAACAAGTCATTAATTAGAATAACTTTTGGGTTGCCAGGTTGTGAAAAGTTCCTTTATTTTTCTCCCCTAAAATTGTAGCTCTTTAATTCCTTACTAGAAATCTGGAGCAAAATCCATTTATTAACACACTATTAGCATGTATGTAAGTGTGAAACCCACAAGCATTTAATAATGGGTTTATAACTGCATTGTTACAAAATAGAAAGCATAAACAATGATCTTTTATGCATTAGTAAATGTATGACCATTATCAAAGTCATAAATAAAGGGTGCCGACTTATCGTTTTACCTTTAAAAGGACAAGAAGGGAAATACTGAAACAGTTATTAAAGTGTGAAGTATCGGTGTATCTGGACATCTGGAACACCTGGTCCTCCTAAAAATGACCTGAGATAAGTTATGACAGGTTTCAGGAAGAGGTTGAAAGCAGACCACATCCAACTGGGAAATCATGGAAGTTGAAACTGTGGATAAGCACACGGGCAATTAGAGCCTGACTAAACACACATTACAGATCATCAACCCAAACCACTGAAAGTGAAAACATACCCTCATTCCTTACCATCCTCATTTGCCATCAGCCACAACCAACTGCTGCCTTCACACCCCCCGGGCCTGCTGATTGGGCTGATCTCACTGATTGAGCTTCATTTAGGAAACATGTGGGAATCAGGCCTGGTAGCTTACTAACATTACGCGCAGCCAGTAATTTCGCTTTGCCCTATTACCACAATAAACATCTGCAATAACAAATGCTGGAGAAATTGCAGCTTAACCACAGGGTGGAGGGAAAAAAAGCACTCTGTCAGCTTTGGTGGAGTCTTATCTGAACAACATCCAGCAGTGGAAAACATGTCTCGCTCTTCCACTAGATGTGATTAGTGAGAATATGTTCGACAGTAATCGCCCCTGGGAATAACATAAATATGCCTGACAAGTTGTTCGGGTGCATTAAGGAAGAAGCGGCAGCAGGTCTCAGTGCTGACCACCAGCGGCAGCAACGCGAGAAGCAGCGTGAGCCCAACAGGCATTGGTTGATCTCATGGTTGTCGGACAGTGTTTTGTGTTGCCTCCTATTTTGCAATTTTGATTTTCTTGTAATCGGAATAAATACATTGCATTCAAAGGGAATAATTCACTGATTTCACAATAGCTAAAAAAAAAAATCGTTTTTATTAGGCTACTTTCGCTCTTAATTTCTCTATAAATTCAACAAGTTTCACATACTTCAATTAGGAACGGCCACTATTTTGCGTGCTTTTAAATTACTTTTTGAGAGGAGTGTGTTTGCTTTTACTGATAATGTTTGTTCTCCATTTAGTCTCCAGCATTTCAGGCTACTTATGTCCGTGTCTCTGCACAAGGATGTGTTTCTGGGGCTTTACTGGCTAACAAAAACGTTTCTTGAGAAGTTCATAATCTTTTCATCTTTTAAAGTTATTTCTAACTTTGTTTGTTTATTTTCCATGTTTGATTTGTGTGCATATAGAGCAAAAAAGACAATGCAGTCTGCATTAAAACACATATGATGCAAAATAAAATCATTTTTCTTGCAAAAAGTCACTATTTCATAATTTCACAACACTTTTAAAAATACACATCTAAAGAAGATGGTCATTTTCCTACATGGTTGCATGTTTCGGGCAAAACATTAGATGTCTTGAATTGGGAATCCAAGAACTCTATAAACACAGGCTTTAAATGACAGCACATGCTTTGCCCTAAAATCAAACCAAACTTTCTTAATTGATGGAATTCCTTCCAAAGTTTAAATTGGATAACGAATGGGGTTTGTTACGCAAAACAAAATGTACAGCCTCAACTACAACTTAAAATGTATTTTCTAATTGCTTAAGTCTTATTGTGATGTAGAGGTTGATATTTGTCATCATAGATACCAAAAATGTTTGTTTGTGACTTGTTAAAACGTAATGTTATTATAACATAAGTAGTTAACAGCCACATTTTCAGAAAACTGTATGTAGATGTAATGCCAGTTATATAGCAACATATCTATTACAAGTATTCCAAGTACTGGCTGTACAGCAGCAAAACAAGTGTGTTAAATTGTGATTTATTACTTAAGAATTCAACTTTTAGTTTGCGTAAAGAGGAATGTGTTGTCATCTCCGTAAGGCCACTGGCTATTGGCTACTGGTGTATGACACGGTCGTTACGTGCCAACCAATAAATTAAAGCGACTCTCCTTTTCACTCGGTTTTCAGAGAGAGAGAGAGAGAGAGCGAGAGAGCGAGCGAGCGAGCGAGCGAGAGAGAGACCTTGAAAAGGTAGGATTCGCGCTGCATCCTGGGTACATAGCTCCATGGTGATGCAGTGTGCCTGTTTGTGTAGACTGGAAACCCAGAGTAAAGTAAACGGGGGAGGGTCGTCAACGGGGGGGCTTTCAGCGAGTTACAATGCGTCTTTCACGGTGTTGAGCGGTCTCGGTGCACGATGAGCCAACTTCGCCGGTCGTCTCGAAGCGGAATGAGTCAGTCCTGAGCCCCAGTAAACGAGTCCTTCTTTTGGCGGAGGGGGAGACAGAGAGAGAGAAGCGAGCATGCAGAAGCCGAGCGCCCCGCTCCCTGTGGTCGGCTTGACTGGGAAATGGTAGCGTACTGTAGGAGCCGCACTTGGAAGGAACATGGTCGAGAGGAGCAGCAAATTCTTGTTGATCGTCGTCGGATCCGTGTGTTTCATGCTGATCCTCTATCAGTACGTGGCTCCCGGGGTGATCAATTTCGGCTCCCCGCACGGTTATTTCACGGAAGAAGACGAGGGGGACATCTTCCCCACTCCGGACCCCCACTACGTTAAGAAATACTACTTCCCCGTCAGGGACCTGGAGAGGACGATCGATTTCCAAATCAAAGGGGAGGACGTGATCGTGTTTCTGCACATCCAGAAGACCGGCGGGACTACCTTCGGGAGGCACCTGGTCCAGAATGTCCGCCTGGAGGTCCCCTGCGACTGCAGACCGGGCCAGAAGAAGTGTACCTGCTACCGGCCGAACCGCAAGGAGACCTGGCTCTTCTCCCGGTTCTCCACCGGCTGGAGCTGCGGCTTGCACGCCGACTGGACCGAGCTCACCAACTGTGTGCCGGGGGTCCTCAACAAGAAGGAGAACAAACAGAAAAATCTAAGGTAAGAAAAACACTCAGAGGTGGTTTCATTTACTGTCACTGTAGATCATGAAGAATGTCGAGGTTTAGGAAATGTCAGAAATTGGTCTATAGTAACACATTTAAAAAAAAAAAAAAAAGATTTTACCTCTAAAACTTTTAAACTACATTTCTGTGATTATATGTCGATTAAAACGGCGTCCCAGAAGGGACAATTCACCTGACGGTACAATAAGGTCACTGTAGACTCGCACAGTGTCTCCGTAGGATCAGATAAAGATGATCTAATTAAATTTAACGAAAGGAAATCCATCTTCGTGAGAAGATTAACATTTCGATCTACTCTTAACAGTTCTTTCTGCTTCTTACATCTGTATCTGGTTTAAGAAAACCGCCTTCAATGCAGGTTCATTCCTCTGGAGAGACAGTAATAACAGGCCTAATTTAATGCTACATTTTAAAGCATTTCTACCCACAATATATCAAAAGTTAAGTGTGCAACTATTTTTTGTGGGGTCTAATTCCTGACATGGAAATGTAGTAATGACACCAGAGTAGATAAAGTACAACAGAAGGCAATACACTGGTGTTATTATAACCTCATAACTGAACACCACAAACTCAATGAAGTCCCCACAGGGTCTGAATGGATGCACCTGGTTGTTGTGTTGTCTTTAAATCAAAGGGCTTTCTTCCGCACCGTGTGGGGCAATGTTGGTATGGTTTTTAAATTATGAGAAGAATGTCAAGGATGGCGTGCATCTTGCTGAGGTGGTGGGTTGATAGTAGCTGCTGAGAGACAAACCGTTTATCGACATTTCAATGCTGCGCTGTGACAGATACCACAGGAGCTCAACAGTGCCTCTGTCAATTGTTGATGGGTGATAATAATATCAGGGTGCCCTGCGTTTCCCACTGAATATCATTCTGAGGTTCTGGCTGAATTTATTTCAGGCACGGGGGAGTGTAATACGTCCAGGCAACATTTCCACAGCAATCATGCCTTGCTTTGACTGCGAGGTATCCAGACACGCATTATTATTATTAAGTTATAGGCTAACCCATTTCTTCTCCTGCGCCTCCCCATTGTTGTTGCCAACACATTGCATCCCTCACTCAGACATATTGACGGCTGTATCAGCTTCCATTTCACTGCACCCTTGTGGTTAAAGGCTTGTTGAATGTGTTGTGTGTCTTTGTATTGCCTGAGCTCGTTATGTGTTTTAATTTGGCTGTGAGTGATCAATAGTACAAATGAGGGAGGGTGGGTGGGGGGGGGGGGGGTTAGAAATATGTGGGAATTTAAAAAAAGAAAGCTGTGTTTTTTCGCCTCTCTGTCTGGCAGCCAGGCGCATTGGGGATGTCAGACCGGCTGCTCTGCTTCCCATAGCTGCTCAAACTGGGGGATCACAACTGCAGGGCTGGGTTGGTGGGTGGGGGGGGGGGGGACCCTGCGGGGGTTTGGCTCCGCTCTAATCCGGGTGATTATTACTGCTGGGACACACACACACACACACACACACACATCAGCGCTGGTATTTGCTGCTGGCGTCTGTCCTGATTCCCGTGGTTTCCCCTGGTCAGAGGTGATAACGCGTCCGGCCATTCAGCGCGGCGAGCCGAGATATCACAGTGGAAGCGGGATAAACAGCCTTTCATCACTTTTGTGAGCACTGTTTCAAAGCCTGAAAATTGTCGCATGCATATAAGCTTTGAGATCAGCTGTGCGTATTGTCAGTGTGGTGGAGATAAACAGCCTCAGTTGGTGCTTGACACACCTTTTTCTGCAAAGCTTTGTGGAGGAAGTGGTTTGTAGGTGTGTTGATGAAAGAGGAGACAGCCTCTACCTACAGATCCTCGCCTGTGCAGCAGCAGGAACCGTTCCAGTGCTAAGATCCAGCATCTCTCCGTAAGCGCTGTTGTCATCCAGCTGTCAAGTGAATTTTGCACAAACGTTTTAAATGCTGCAAAAAAAAAACATGTGCATTAGGACCGTTTCTATCAGCTGGATTCAAAGCACATAAATACGAGCGTTCTCAGTCGAGTTGTGACAAACAGTTACTGTCATATTTATGCTTTCATTTGGTTATGGAAACAAATGTACGAGCCAATATTTTTTGGCCTGCAACAAACAAAAGGAATGACAGAAAATAGTAAAATGTGCAGAGCACGCGTTGACATATTTAAACACTGCAAAGGACATTCATATGTTCCAATATGTTCAGTGTATGATCACAGAACACCAAGGAATAATACTCACATTTGAGAACCTGGAAGCAAAGAATGACAAATAACTTTAACCACTTATAAAGATTCAGCAATTTAACATTTACATAAACAATAAAAATCGTATTATTGTCTTTAGTGCTACTGTTGTTTATATGTTTTAGTGTAATGGCTTTGTGAGCTCACACGTTGCCATTTCAGTGACGGGGACAGCCAGTCTGACATTTATGTGATTTGCTGTAAAGAACATCTCTGGATGTCCAAAGCCACTTCTGTGTTGTGTAACTGTTTTGTATTGTTAGTGTAACATTTTCCAGGCCCTGTTGTTGTCATGGCTGTGTTATTTATTGATTATACAGATGGGTCTGTATCACTGTGCACAGTTTCTTCAAAATGCTTCTTCTTTAAGAGAGCATAAAGCCATTTTCAAGACATTGAGGAAATTGGATAGAATATGTTTGTTTTTTTTTAAAATTCAGTATAAAAAAATGCTACGATGGATTACGCTTAGTTTGGTCTGGTGACAAATGTGTCTGCTTTAGAGGGAGGCGCATGAAGCGGCAGTGAGATGAATGGTGGGTAATAGGAGAGACAGGTCTTTGATCGGTGATGAGATGGAGATGGAGATGAACAGCGGCATTGTGGGAGAAAAGAAGTCACATACTCGGCGGCGCGCCACTCGGAGTGGATTTGTCATTTCCCACCTCTTTTATCAGTTTTAATGTTCTTCAGCGATCCCACGGGACACACACTCACACACTGAGTGTGTGAGACAAACAGTCACAGCCCCTAATGCAAGGCCTTAGATATGGGGCTTCTAATTGGTTAAGGAGGTATCTACCACTTTACTCAAATTAGAGCCACATTTTCAGATGGGGGGGGGGCACCATCTGTCCTGTGCATGTGTGTCTGTGCACACAGCTCATGACTGTGTGCATGTTTTTAATCCTAGCGTGTCATAGAGCGTCTTAGTAAGTGAAGTGATGATGGGGGCTAATTTTACTGCCTCTATCTCGGCCCTCTCAAATCACTCCCTGATTTTTTTTATATTTTTTTTTTCTCTCTCTCTCTCTCTATCTCTTCCCCCCCCCCCCCACCTCCTCTTCATCCCTTCTGCTTGCCTCTAAAACTCTTTCCCTCCTCTCTCCTTCCATCCATCCCTCCCCTCCCTCCTTCTCTCCATGATGGTGTCACTCTATAATCAAACAGCAGGCTTGCTTTCCGCTTGGTGGCTTTATGGCCGGGGGGCTCACTCTCTATCTTTCTCCTTCACTTTCCTCCCTCTCCTCTTTTTCTCCTCTCTCCATCTCTGCCCACTCGTCTTTCTTTCGCTCCTTTGCCTTCTTCCTCTCCCTCTCCCTCCGAGCGTGACTACCGCATTAGAGGAAATGTCTTTTCATGGAAGATTTGCTGCAATTTCCAAAATGGCTGCTTTGCCTAATGGACAACTGCCTTGGTTCTAATGAATGATTATATGTATGAGTATGGGGGGGGGCAGGGGCAAGGAGAGAGGGAGATGGAGGTGATGAAGAGTGGTATGAGGAAGAAGATGGGATGAGTGTGGGACAAGAGGAGAGCTGTCAGGGAATGATTGAAAAGATAAAAGATGGAGGGGTGAAAACGTTTACTTTCATTACTGGGGAGGGGGCTAGTCAATTAGCACGGTTGTCAAGCGGCGGGCATTACTCGTCTTTCAATAGGTCTGCTTCAGATTCACAGCACAAATCACTGCGCTCTCTAAGATGGCTCTGTGTGTGTGTGTGTGTGTGTGTGTGTGTGTGTGTGTGTGTGTGTGTG